GATGTTCTCTGTATCCTATCGATGTTCTAGGTACCCCATTGTTGTTCTCATTTGCATGTTGTTGTTCTCATTTGCATGGCTCAATAGTGCATTGTCATAAACACTGTTTGGCAAATAAAAATACTAATTTAACTTTTAAAATTCCTTTATTCTATATATTTAACACTTCGACCGTAGTACATAATCTTCGCCGCTTATTTTATTTCACTTCTCAACATTTTCATTAAGCACACACAATACTTGTGTGAAGTAAAATGATATTCGTAGAAATTTGTATATTATGTGACATATTGTACTATATTTTATACAATTTGTGTTTGCTTTGACTGCTTCCCTTGGCTCTCTAAATTTGTTTTAAGAAAATTCAAAACCTTCTCCAAATTGAGTACCCTTTCCATTAATTCATGCTTTTCTGACGGTTCTTCTTTCCTGTGAATTATCTGTCTCCCAGAAATTTTGCTTTCTCCACTTTCGTTTCCATTCTTCTCTGCCGAGTAATTCATCTCATTATCTTCATTGGTAACTTCTGTTTCCTGCGAATAATCTGTATCCACATAGGTTCACTTCTCGACTTTCGCTTAATACCTGAGTCGGGGTGAATGGAGGTCCTAAGAAAATATTGCTAATGCCTAGCTCAGCACTACTCAAATATATGAGTTCGTTTGCTGCAAGGCGTACCAACTCGTAAGTTGAATACATTCCATAGACGCTTGGCATTTCAGAGGCAAGAAGAATCCCTGCAAAGAAAAGTTTGTAACATATTTCAATATAATTATGCCTTTACAAATGGGTTAGGAAGCAGTTTCTATCGAGTATAGATCGACTTCAGCTTAATGCTCTTAGAATTCTTTAATACCTACCCACCATGAAGAAGGATAAACACAGTGTTTTCGGCTTCATATTGTGTTTAGTTCAACAGATGGAAATCAACTGTCAAACGTTAAGTATGTGTAGGGTCTTATCAGAAACCAGTATATCCAGTCTACACTGTGTAAATAGTTTTTTAATATGAGCTCTTTTTTTTTTATATTTTACGTAACTTAATGAGCCTTCAAAAACTAGGGAAAATTCTCAATAATACCTTATCAGTTTGTAAGGGAATAGTATCGAAAATTCGGGTTAAGTTTGCTATTTTTGTCAAATTATCGTCATTCCATGTAGTGAGTTTAAATATTGACACGTTTTTCAGTGCACCGCTTGAGCTTTACCTGTTGCATAGATGTTAAAAATTAGTCTGAGCTTTTCGCGAATTTCGAAATTGTTGCCACATGGTAAAGGGTTAAGCATAATTTTCAATATCCAAAACATCTTTGTGTTCGTCGATGTAAATAATATGCCTAGGCTCGTTTCCAAATTCTTTTGGAAATCCTTGTTAAGTCTCTTTATTTTGCTTTCCAATATAGACCTCTTATTTTATCAATACAAATACTGAGCCTGAGCTTTATATTGACAAAATGTTACCGAACGAATTTTTGTATTTTTATACTCTCGCAACCTATTGCAACAGAGCATAATAGTTTTGTTCTCCTAAAGATTGTTTGTATCACTAAAACTGTCTGCCTGTCCGTCTGTGCAAGCTGTAACTTGAGTAAATTGAGATAACTTTATGAATCTTGGTACACATGTACCAATTTTTTTTGGCACCTTTATCGAAAATGTGAAATCGGGTTACAACCCCACCCACTCCCCATATAACGGTACTGTTAAAAACTACTGAAAGCGCGATAAGTCAAGAATTAAATACGCCCGAGACATTAAATTTTATCTCTGGGATGGTATGAGATGACTTTATAGGAACCGCATTCCAAATAAGACAGTGGGTGTAGCACCGCCCACTTTTAGGTGAAACCCCATATCTTGGGATCTGCCTAACCGATTTCAACCAAATCGGATATATAACATTCTTCTCATATTTCTATGTTATAGTGCGAAAATTGGCGAAATCGAATTGCAACCACGCCTATTTCCCATGTAACACCATTTTAAATTCCATCTGATGCCTTCACTTTCAACTATGCAAATCAAGCAACAATGATTGTATAGGTGTAACATTTTGCGCAAATAATGCGTTTGAAGTATGCCACCTTGTGACTAAAAATTGTCTAAAGCGAACAAAATTGTTCAAGCCCCTAGATACTGAATATGTGGACCCCCGTGCCTATAGTTGACCTTTTACCGAAAATATTGGTCAATATGTGAGATATATAATTGAAATTCATATAATAAAATAAATAAATGAAACTCTCGATAACAGTATGTCCTTGTGTCAAAAATGGGTTGAATGGGATCAATACTTCTTTTAATACAAAATTTTGCCAACACCTGAAGTAATTTCCCCGGCTTTGATCTTTGCATGTTGCGAGAGTATAAAATGTTCGGTTACACCCGAACTTAGAACTTCCTTATTTGTTCTTTAGCCTTTTATGTTTTTGAGAACACACCAAAGAGAGAATCCAAAATTCATACCTCTTAATACCCCGTATCTTGATAAAATGTTAGCGAACGAATTTTGGTATTTCTCTTTAGCCTACTCTGGATTGCTTTCCATTGCGATTTCCCTTAGTTTTTAAATTTTGTGAACTAGTGTCATTTATACAATAGGATCCAATACAATTACCTAGCTGAATTATTAATCACCACTAAACGTGTGAGGGCGTTCTGTAGACAATGAGACTAAGTTGAAGCTCATAAACAGAATTGGATTTTGAAAAACTTTAGATTTATCTGTGTTATTTTAATATACTGTTCTAGCAGTAGTCAGAGGCAAGAAAGCTAGTTTATTTACGTATGTATATTGATAGTCTAATTCTAACTCCTTTGTAATTCCGCTAGTATAAAGCGTCAACTCAAATAGTCACCAAATTATTCTGCTGACCGTATACGAGTAATGAGTTACTTGTTTTCCTCTTGTTAAAAATTTTTCTACTATTAGGCGTGACTTCAACTTGTTGGACGTTATAATCGTTATAAGTTCTACTTCCTTAACTTTCGACGCAGTAATCCACCCATATGACATCTGGAATATGACGGCAGCAAAGGAAGGTATTGACGATATTACATATATTCTATTTCATAGTATCTATAAATACATTTATTTTCAACTACTAGCCTCTCACTGACCACTGCTAAAACGCTTCAGTATATTTGCATAGGTATCCCACAAAGCACATTATCTTTAAAGGTGTCAGTAGACTTTATTTCCAATTAAAAAAGAAGATTTTCTGAAAGCTCTGAATTTTACCAATTATGTTGATCAATTTCACAACTAAAAAGGAAACATTTATTACTTGCTGGGAACTAGTCTCTGATTTCGCAAAGGCAACTGAGAGCCGTAAAGTATTGTTGAAATAAATCACATTTATCATGGAAACAAGTGAACACGTTAACTTCGATTGTATCAAATCTTTAATATCCTTTAAAAGTGCATTCCTACAAGAACTACTTAATCTGAAAACGTAATCCGTAATAATAATTTGCAACCAACGAAAAACGACTGTCAATTATTTCTTCTAAATTATATTCATTCACCTGACAGTGAACTAAAATTGAGTCCGATATATTTGAAAAAGATTGCGCATCGATGTTCTCGGTTATCCGATTAATGTACACCATGCTGAGGCACAACCCACAGAAATTTTCGGATACCCCAACGGTGTTCTCGGGTATCTCATCGACGTCATCAATGTTCAGACATACCTCCCCCATGTTATCGGGCATCTCATCGATATTCTCTTGTGTCTCATCGATGTTCTTTGGTACCCAATCGATGTTCCCGATACCATTCGTGTTCTCATTTTCTGAATGATCATAGCTCAACAAATAAAAATTATAATTTAATTATAAACTTTTAACAATTTCAACAGCTCCTTTTATTCTATATATTTAGCCACACTTCGAGCGTAGTACATAATCTTCGCTACAACGTCGAAATTAATTAAGACTCATTAGGCTAACAATACTTGTGTGAAGTAAAAAATTTTAATATTCTAAAAAATTGTTATACTTATTACCAATGGCATCTCTACCATCTTTGTATTCGATGTTTAATTATTTTACCTTGCGTCTCATTACGTTCTTTGCCAGAGATGTCAAGAGATTATCCAAACTTAGTACCTGGAGGTGGTCGCCAGATAATACGAATATTACTCCATCAGTATGAACTTGCAAGGTCTTATTAGCTTCTAAATTTTGTTCATGATAATATTCTTCCTCATACTTTGTGTCTCCACCTAAAGTGTCTTGTAGTGTGTGTTCCAACTGATTTTCAAAATTCAAACATTTTCCACAGGCACTTGAGATGTGGCTTGTGATGAACAAAGCTGCAATAACATTATACAGAGAAGGGTTTTATAATACCACTAGTAAAAATGTAGTAATCGTTCAAATCATTCGCCTTCGCTCACCTATCCTTTCATCTGCGGTACAGTAGTATCCGTTCCATTGAGTTTACATTTCGCCTTGAATATATTTCGTAGACGAAATAGTTCCGAAGTTCAACCAAATATTTTCCAGAAGCAAAATACTCACCTCCAACGATAATACATATGATGTACATTTTGAAAAACATGTATGTATGATTTTAAACGGTTTCAGTTCTTACTTCCTTAAACTACTTTCCGGAACTTCCTCATACTTGCTTGATTTCGGCCTGATGAAACAAAATTTATGTACCATTTGTAGATCATGAAATTATCAGTTTGTTTGCTTGGTTCGAATTCAGTTTAGTACGGAATCAGACTGTTCCAGAAGACATTTGATAGTTGAGAAATAATCTATTAAATTTGATTCAGCACGGCCTACAGCTTGGCGAACTGTTGACGGCCAAAGTTCCTATGTTTGCTGTGAATACGCAATAAGCAGTCGCTGTACAAAAGGAAAAGAGAGGAAATTTCGACTTACAAGACCTAAAACACTCGTTAAATCTCTGTTACTACAAACGGAAGCTGTTTGACAAAAAATTCCCCTTTGCTAGGCTCAGCCTGGGTGAGACAAAATCGATATAAAACTGCTCAATGCATATTGCTTTATTTAATCATTTCATTTGTTTTCCACAATTTAGTCATAAAAACACTGCCTAAATTTATAAGTTTTATTTACAGTAAGCAGTTGCTTCCGTCAAATTATCTGAGCATTCAAGTTCGGCCTCCTCCTGTACACATATATTATATTATCCGAAGTTACATTTACTTCAATTTCTGTTCGTCCAAAAGATATTAAATTACTTAAGCTCGTTTTCTCTGCTTATTTAGCGCTGCCGCTCTCTTATTCCGATATGGTGATCCCGGACGATTATACTCCTTCCTGAATTCATATTCTAAGCCGCCCAAAAAGTCGTTTACTTGTTGCGGCATAGCTACGTTATCGGTCGGCGGATAGCGCCTCATATTCTGCTGCGCTGATCTTACCTTTCTTACAGAGGTTTGCGCTAGATTGTCATCAGTTATCGATTTTCCAGAAGTATTAGAGACTAGGCTTAAAAGCAGACAAACTGCAATTAAAATTTAAGAATGAGAGTTTGCAATGAACCGGGGAAGGTAATTATATATAAGAAAATACTCAAATTAGGATTTTCTCTAGAGAATTATTTTCCAAACAATTTAAATATGGCTCTTTGAAAAGATGGCAGATCTTTTCATCATCATCATCTAAGTAGTATTTCTCCTATATGACCTTGGAAATATTTATAAAATATATATACTTGCCACCAACTATTACATGTATCCAGTTTAATACCGACGGCATCCTGTTTAAGTGATTTTGTAGAGTGTAAAACCTTTTGCTTTATATTGAATTCTTGTGGAAGAACGTTTTCCCACTGCCTGTGAAGACCTGTTATTTCAGTTGCTTAAATAGTAATATCGGCGACCAAAAACGTGTAATTGCATGCCAATAAGGCAGCGAAGTGTTCTTTGAGATGTGATTTGGAATTAATGCGTGTCATTGTTTGTCTATTGCGAAGCTGATAAAATTGTCGATAATAACATCAATACTATATACTTATACATAGTCTTCATAGGCGGAGGTTGCCGTATATTCATGAAGCCAGCAGCTTCCAAATAGATATTTTTATGTGAATATAATTCAAGTTGGGAACTGAGCTTGAAATCCAAATAAAAAAAATACATATCATAGTATATTAATCAAGACTCTAGGGGGTTTTAGCGCGCTACTTGCCTCGAATTAGGGTTGAAGAAGAGAAATTGAGTGTGTATCATTTTAGATCAATAAATCCACAGCTTGTTTAGTAGATTTTAAGCAAATTTATTGCGAAATCAGACCATTCAAGGAGGCATTTGAGATATTCGAAATAATATTTTATATTTGTTTTCACAGTACTTCTTTATATTCACCTCGTATTATAAGACAATGTAAAATCAATACAAAAGTTTGGTTATTTTTAGAGCTTGAATGGAAGAGTTGTGATCGAATAATATTTTTTGTAACATTTTTAACTACTTATCTGCAAATGGCTTCATTTATGTTTTTTATTTTTTCTTAAAAATATATTTAATTTCCTTTGTTTTCTTCTTTTAGGTACAAATTTACTTCGGCATGTGTACATCTAAGACATCAGTTGCCTCTCTCCGTGCAGTAGATATAAAGATTTTTAAACTTTGGGTTGACTGTTGTTGTTGTTTTTCTAATAATAGTGTATCTTTATGCCTAAAATGGATGATTTTCCTAACTACCCTATATAACTAATATCAGGATTTTAAATCAGGTCAACTTTACCTCTTACATGCTAAAAATAGATGAAATTGGGTCAATATTACATCTAGCTCCCATAAACCTATTATAAGAATTTTAAACTTCGGTTGCCTTTGTAGCATATGTATCGGTCAGTCGGTTACAGTTTAATGCAAAAAAATATATATATAAGGATTCTATAATTTTTTATTTTAACAAACCTCATATCGAATAGGTCGGTCAGTGTGTGAGTTATATATTCATGAAAAATGCTTGAAAATATGCGCTCGAGTATACCTGCGCAATGTCAAAAAATAATGCAATCAGCACAGACCTTTTTCTGCCCTCAATATACGAGTACCCTATACAGTGATACAGTTTAGGTTGGAAAAAAAGTGTTATAATTTAATGAAATTAAGTGGACCCGCTTTCTAACAAATTATGTAGTTCATCCTACGTAACCGGAACGGACCCGGATTTTATCCGGCCAAGGACAACCTATAATATAATTGGTTAAACCCCAAACATGATTGCAATTCTTTAATACTTTCGTCGAATAATAAATGTTGAATTCTTCGCATTACTTCTTAATAATATAAGATTTTGCCTATACCTGAAGGTATTTCCCCGACCTTGATCCCTTTGAAAGTATAAAATGTTTGGTTACACCCAAACTTTGCACTTGCTTAATTGTTTACATATACGCTCTTTTTGTGGACTTTCGGTCATAAAAGAGTACAATTAGTTTCTTCCGGAGACATGCTCAACCCAAAGTGATCAAAAATGTATATGAAAAGCTGAAATTTAAAGTTTTCCAAGAGTTATTATGGGCAGCATAGGACTATGAGTGTACATCAAGGCCGTTGTGTTGAGTTCAAAATCAACTAAATATACTTACAAATCTGTATGAAATGGAAATGTAGAAAGCGCAATAAATATTGCTTTATTTAATCATTTATTAATTTTTTTTTTATATTTTAGTAACTGTCCAAACTTTCCAACTCTCGAAATATATTTACAAGTTAAATTACATATATGTACACATATAGTTAAGCTAATGAGCTTTAACAAAATTCTGTTGATTTAGCGAAGTTTTCATTGTCGGATATTTACCTTGTTGCTCTTTCAAAGTTAAGTTGGTGAAAACACTGTCCAAAAACTGTTTATTTATAGTAAGCAGGGGCTACGGGCGAAATATCTGGACATGTATGTCCGACTTTGTCAGATTGTTGGGGCTCAACTTCGTCCTCCTCCGGCTTTGGATATTTCGGCAGATGATTCGGCGGAATTTGCTTCGGATACTGCGGCAAGGCCGATCTTACCTTTCTCACAGAGGTTTGCGTTAGGTTATCATTAGTCACCGATTTTCCCGAAGTATTAGAGACTAGGCTTAAAAGGAGACAAGCTGCAATTAAAATTTAAGAATGAGCGTTTGCAATGAACCGGGAAAGGTAACCATGTATAAGAAAATACTCAAATTAAGATATTCTCTAGCGAATTCAGATTTTTTCCAGAGAAATTATTTTCGAAACAATTTAAATATGGCCGTGAGCTCTTTGAGAAGATAGAAGATCTTCGCATCATCATCTTAGTAATATTTCTCCTATATGTCCTTGGAAATATTTATAAAAAATATATACTTGCCACCAACTATTACATGTATCCAGTTTAGTACCGACGGCATCCTGTTTAAGTGATTTTGTAGAGTGTAAAACCTTTTGCTTTATATTGAATTCTTGTGGAAGAACGCTTTCCCACTGCTTGTGAAGACCTGTGGTTTTAGTTGCTTATATAGTCATATCGACGACCAAAAACGTGTAATTGCATGTCAATAAAGCATCGAAGTGTTGGTTGAGATGTGATTGGGAATTAATACTTATAATTTATTTTGTTTTCTAACTGTGTTGCGTTTATTGCGCAACCAGAAAAATTTTTGATTATACGACCAATAATATCAAAAGCTATAAATAAAACAATCTTTACTAATGTACTAGTAACCGAACATGTTGGCAGAATTTTATATTGAAGGAAGTATTGATCGGCACAAAGACATACTGTTATCGAGAGTTTCAATTATTTATTTTATTATATGAATTTCAATTATATATCTCACACATTGACCAATATTTTCGGTAAAAAGTCAACTATAGGCACGGGGGTCCACATATTCAGTACCTAGGGGCTTGAACAGTTTTGTTCGCTTTAGACAATTTTTAGTCACATTATTCACGCAAAGTCTTACCCCGATATAATCATTGTTGCTTGATTTGCATTTGTGTTATATTATGTACCGAATTTGGTTGAACTCGGTTAAGCAGATCCCAAGAAATGGGTTTTCACCTAAAAACGGGCGGTGCCACGCCCACTGTTCAATTTTGAACATGGTTCCCATAAAGTCATCTCATACCATCCCAGAGATAAAATTTAATGTCTCTGGCGTGTTTAGTGCTTGATTTATCGCGCTTTTAGTAGCTTTTAACAGTACCGTTATATGAGGAGGCGGGGTTGTCAACCGATTTCACCTATCACACTTTCGATAGAGGTGTTAAAAAAATTTGTTCTCAGCGAATTTCGTTATTATAGCTTTAGCGCTTTAGGAGATTTAACAATAAATCTATTAGGGGCGGGAACACGTCCACTTTTTGAAAAAATTTTAAACTGCAGATGACCCATCTGCAATGCCAACCGTCTCACGATGCCAAGAAACATGTTTTGTAAAGATATCTCAATTTTACTCAAGTTACAGCTTCAACAGTTTTTCGGACGGACAGACAGTCACCCGGATTTGAGCTCGTCTTGTCACCCTAATCCTATATCTATATCGATTGGTTTTCTACTATATACTACTTAATGAAACGGTGTGAAAAACTTAGTGTGTGTGTAAACTGAATGTCTGATATTTCATAAAAAATTGAATACTTAAATATACTTGTATTCAATGCAAGTACATGTTTTTAGACACAACAATGAGCCCCACTAAAATATTCGAATTTTGTGTAACTCAGATCTATTGATAAAAGTTCTACGGAATTTGTAATAAACCGACTTAAGCTTATTTCACTATATAAACAACTTCCAGTGATTTCTCCACTAACAGTGTAAAACTGTAACCGTATAAAATCATACATTCAAGACTGTTTTCAAAATGTACTTCATATATGCGGTCGTTGGAGGTGAGTACTTTGCTTCTGGAAAATATTTGGCAGAACTTCGGAATTATTTCGTCTACGAAATGTATTGAGAAGGCAAAATTTAAACACAGTGGAATGTACTACATTCAAAACCTTCAGGACTGGAGTCTTGGGTACTACTGTAACGCAGATGAATGGATAGATTATCAAAGGCGAGCAGAATTGGTGATACTGGCGTTCTACCAGATTTATCCATTACTACATATTTACTAGTGGAATTATACCATTCTTCTCTTTATAATGTTGTTGCAGCTTTGTTTATCACAAGCCACATCTCAGGAGCCTGTGGAAAATGCCCGAATTTTGAAAGTCAGTTGGAAAACACACTACAAGACATTTCACAGGGTGGTACAAAGTATGAGGAAGACATTTATCATGACCAATGTTTTGATGAAATAGGAGGATTTGCTAACGAACACCTCCAGTAATCAGACAAATCATCAGATATTGAGGAGTACCTCACTGGATAATCTCTTGACATCTATTACAAAGAACTTAAAGAGATGCAATGTAAAACACTCAAAAATTTAAAACAAATCGAATATAGTATGCCATTTGTAATATTATATATATAAAAAATGCTTTGAATATTACAATTTTTTACTTCACACTAGTGTTGTAAGCTTAATGTAAATGTGAGAGAAGAGTAAATTAAAACAAGTAAGGAAGGGCTAAGTTCGGATGTAACCGAACATTTTATACTCTCGCAAAGTCAAATGGTATACTTGTTTGAGATTTCTTTGTGGATTGACTAATATTTTCGGTAGAAGGTCAACTATAGGCACTGGGGTCCACATATTTAGTACTTAGGGGTTTGAACAGTTTTGGTTCGATTTAGACAATTTTTGGCCGCAAGGTGGCATACTTTAATTGCATTATTCACGCAAAGTTTTACCCCGATATAATCATTGTTACCTGATTTGCATAGTGGAAAGTGAAAGAATCAGATGGAATTGAAAATGGTGTTACATGGGAAGTAAGCGTGGTTGTAGTCCGATTTTCGCACTATGACATAGAAACATGAAAAGAACGTTATGCACCGAATTTGGTTGAAATCGGTTGAGCAGATCTCAAGATATGGGTTTTCACCTAAAAGTGGGCTGTGCCACGCCCACTGACTAATTTTGAACGCGGTTCCTATAAAGTCATCTTATACCATCTCAGAGATAAAATTTAATGTCTCTGGCGTGTTTAGTGCTTGATTTATCGCGCTTTTAGTAGTTTTTAACAGTACCGTTATATGGGGAGTGGGCGGAGTTGCCACCCGATTTCAACTTTTTTCACACCGTCAATAGAAGTGCTAAAAACATTTGGTTCTGTTGAATTTTGTTATTATAGCATTGGCGGTTTAGGAGATTTGCACATTAAACCTATTAGAGGTGGGACCACGCCCACTTTTAAAAAAAAAGTTTTAACTGCAGATGCCCCTTCCTAATGTGATCCTGTGTACCAAATAACAGTCTTGTATCTTATTGCGGAGCTTAGTTATGGCAAGTTATTTGTTTTTGATTAATGGCGTTTTGTGGGCGTGGCAGTGGTCCGATTACGCCCATCTGCAATACCAACCGTCTCACGGTACCAAGAAACATGTCTACCAAGTTTCATAAAGATATCTCAATTTTTACTCAAGTTAGAGCTTGCACGGACGGACGGACGGACGGACAGACAGTCACCCGGATTTCAACTCGTCTCTTCATCCTGATCATTTATATATATATAACCCTATATCTAACTCGATTAGTTTTAGGTGATACAAACAACCGTTAGGTGAACAAAACTATTATACTCTGTAGCAACAGGTTGCGAGAGTATAAAAATATTGTACACATCCAAATTTATTGACGTTGCAGCGAAGATTATGTAATACGGTCGAAATGTGGTTTAATATTATATATAGAATGAGATGTTATGGAATTTTTAAAAGTTTGTAGAATATCTACAACCGACCGTAGAACGTAGAAGCCATATGTATCGTGTTGTGTCTTATCTCCGTAGTATACGTCCAACTAGGCTTGCGTCTCTCCATTCCGTCATGCACCTTGAACATATGTACATATCTACGAAAGCCATCAAGCATTGGAGAGAAAACTAAGATAGCGTGTACTCATTACTGATAATCCATCCCTCAACATCGAAGGGTTTATTCTGCTGTTTAACCGTTAGGTTGAGTTCTAAATTTTTCGGTTAATAATACCGGTTCATTAAGCGAGTAAACTCCTAATCACATCTCAACGAAACTTGTTCAGTTATTTGTTGGCATGTTTTTATTAGACTCGATAGTTTAAATTTTTAAGAATTCTGATACTTTACAGCAATAGGACTCGCTGAATTCGAAAAAAAGGTAGTAGTCAGAGACTAGAAAAAAATTTCAATTAAAAAAAATCTTTTCGCCAGTAAATTATTTTTTTGTATAACAGTAAAAACATATGTTAGCATCTTCAAGTAAGCTTATTGAGCATTCGTTGCTAGAATTATGTCTTAGAATTATTCGTAAAGAATGGCGTCAAAAGCGTGCATTAAAACTCAAACTATTTTCAGTCATAATTTATTTTCCATTCTCAAGGCTAAATATTTTACAAATTCATAAAATTTATTTTTGAGCATTCAGAGCCTTTTTAAGTGAATATCATTGCTGCCGCATATTAAAAAAAACATCTCATTACAGCTTACATCTTCGCTTGCCAAATCAACCGAGCTTATGGCAAAGCCCTATTGTGCGATGATTGCACACATTGAGAACATCAATGGGGTACCCGAAAACATCGACGCTCACTACTCAAGAACAATTATAATCTTGCGTGGTGTCTTATCTTATTATGATATACTTGTAGGCCGTAGACTCACTAAGTCTTATTACTATATTCGTATTGCGCATCATATCCGGGATATTGGTACTAAAATTAACCTAATTAACTCACCTTAGATATAAACTCAACCTCAGGGACTAAATTTAATATATTTTGTACATACAAGTAAGTGAGGAAAAAATCGACCACTGAAACTAGACCGGTCCTGAACGGGTAATCATTATATTAGTGATAAGAGGCTTAGACCGCGGTCTAGACCGATTTTATTAACATTTAGCGCTAAAAATTCATTAAAAACAAGAAAAACCGTTAACTTCGGGTGCACCGAAGCTATAATACCCTTCAAAGGTTCCTTACAAGATCTTAATTCCGATTTAATTTCGTGAAGATACCTCGTCACAAAATAAAGTTTCCTTGCAAGCACTTTATTCCAGTTTTCAGTTCAAATATCTCGTCAAATAAAAACATTTTACATTAATTCCGATTGTTCAGTTAGTATGACAGCTATATGCTATAGTGGTCCGATATCGGCTGTTTAGACAAATGAGCAGCTCCTTTGTGAGGAAAAGACAGGTGCAAAATTTCAGATCGATAGTTTAAAAACTGAGGACAAGTTCGTATATATACAGACGGACGGAAGGGCAGCTAAATCAACTCAGCTCTTCATGTTGATCATTTATGTATATATTTAATAGGTATGTGTTCAGATAGGACATAATACAGTGAGGGGATTTTAGTTCCGGTGGTTTCACAATGGGCATTCTAATAGCCTAGGGGTGTTGTCAGACATCCGCCAAAGCTACAAAATCTTAAATGAGGCCGACTTTTTTAGAAATCTAACGTAAGGTATAGGGATTTTAATTTAAGGGACTGCTTATCAAACTCTTATAAAACTCTTCTTAAATACCCTCATGAATCGACGAAGCGCTTTGAGTCGATCACACATTTGTTGATGTTAAATTTCAGTTTCGGCCCTGTCTTCTGGTTAAAGGCCAGTAGTTCAGTAGATTTCCTACATTCCTCTAGGTCAGAAGAACCTCGCAATCGCGCAGAGGCAAGTCGTCGACTAACGCCTGCTAAGCGCAAGCGAGGTCCATAGGTTTCCACCGGGTGAATAATGTTGTAAAATTTAAGCTATAGTTTTAAACACATAGTTATATAGATAGATGCTCTTAAAATTTTATTTGCTCATACGGCTAATTCTACCCCATTACTTTATTTTTATTTTTTCATGAACGTAGTCTTTCTTATGCTCCAAAAGTTGTATTGCAGAGTTTCTACAGATCTCTTTGATTTATTTTCATTTGTTGTACTTGCCTTTTAGCTCTTCCAAAAGAGTTTTAATTAATGCTTGAGTTTCTTGGCGATCACTTTCCCTCAATGGACAGCTGCTGTCAATTTCAGTATTTTGCTTTTCCTTGTCATCAAGTGCTAGCTCGGCCAGCAATTCGGCGATATATCCTTTTATTGCTTCGGTATCCTTTGGATTCGTGGTTTGAAATAACGGCAGTGATGATCTTACTAATAATAGCGGAGGTTGCCCCGCATTATCGCAACTCACAGATTGCGCATAGGCATTTCCAAATCGGCTTGTGACCACGAAAGCTATGGGAATAGAATAAATAATAAATCAGGTTTCGCGGGTAATAGTTCTCTGAAATATCATTGGCACTGCTTATAGCGGATAGGAGGTTACCTCCAACGATTAGATATATGAGCTTTGGCGCCATCTTCTTTATATGATTAAATAATATGCGGTTAACGAAAAATTACAAAGCTGATTAGTATTGATTGAATAGTAACGTAAGTAGTAGCAGCTATTCGCAAACTGAGTACTTTTATATGCTCGATCTTTTCTTCTATCAAGAAAATGATGCTCATTGTTTGCGAGTGGAGTCGTGTAGTTGCATGTCAATAAGCACAAATTTTTCGGATGAAATGCGATTATGCATTGACTCTATTACTAATGTTGTATAACTGTCAGATACGTTCAGAATGTGGTATACCTAAAATAATACAATACAAGTATATATATAATATATAATATATTCATGAACGTAGGAACGGAAGAAAAAAACGGCGTGCAAGTTGAAATAATTGCAATACCTCCTTATCTTCTGTTACTTAGAAGTCAGAAGGATACTATAAGATCTCTCTCATCTATTAATTACAGTCGTAATGTATCTGTATCAATATGTATGGTCAATCGTAGGGCATAAACTCTTGATTGTGTTTATGTTATTTCTTGCGTTGTTAGCTATCTCTGCAGGAAAATACTGCAGTATTCCGGCAACTAAAATGGTAACCTGAGATCTAGCCCCGCGCAATAGATCCCGGCGCCCACTCCATTAGCCATTTTTGATACGTCCGTGTAGATGTTAAAGGTTCCGTAGGAGTGTCGCTCGATTCTGCGCAATCTACCCTCTTTTAACATGACTTTAAAGCACTTCACCCAGCGCGAGGGTATGTGTTCCAATTTATCCATCAACCTCCTGCATTTCGAGCTACGCCCGAAAGTTCTTGTGGAAAATTCCTTAACGAAACTGGATTGGCTTAACCACCGTTACAGTGATGGGATCTTGTATCACCTTGTAATGAGTATTAGAACTAACTTACGGATATTTACCTCTAGGTTGACCGATATCGCCTATCGTCGTGTGACCTTAGAGGGTTAGTCAACATGCTACCAATTGAGTCTAAGAACTTGTTCGCCATCAGTATAGCTATGTGGTCTGCAGGTCAGTAGAACTTTTATTCGTGTTATGATGGCGGGCTCTTTTAGCAAAACTTGCAGTCCATCTGTTCATTAGCAGACAAAAGAAAGCTGTAAGAATGCGCTCTACGAGAAAAGCCGTAGAACGTCGTTGTCACACTCGACAGATCAGCATATTAGTTAGCCTAAATCTTGTAGCAAATTTTCTGCAATAAATACTGATAAAAATCTAATCAGCCGAGAGAGAATTATTTGGTTTGAGAAAAGATAGTCTAAGAAGTCTTTTAAAAGCAATAATCTTTTTTCCAACTTTTACCGCTCCCTTAATTAGTGTCATGTGATTTGCGTACAGATAGAGTAAGTCCTTGTAACAATAACCTCCTTCCCAACTTTTTAGTTCAGATTAGAACCTCATTTGGGAATCTTAAAAGTTTAACACTTTGACTTACTAAGTACTCATACTTTTCATATTCTTTTGAAGCTAAGAATACCAAAATACTAACCTACGACAACCAAACCGTCAAAAGTAAAAGTTAACATCAAGTCGAGCTTATGACTGCTAACGCGACATCTTTTGAGTGATAGTTAATATTCTAATACACTGCTCTTTAAAATATCTGTGTGAAGCAGAGCTTTTTTGATTTTCTTAAACTAACAAACAAGGCCGTAGAGAGAAAACCGGAGACTGGGGATAACTGTATTGAGTTGTTGGGAGGAATTACCCCCGATCTCTATCACTCTCTCCTTCACTGTATACAATGCTTTTCTTCTTACCTAAACAAACAAAAATTGCATTAAAACTTTACATTTGATCTTGAAACCATAGGCTTGCGAATTACAGTCAGAAATATTACTTATTTCAATAGTGTAACTAAACTGAAACTTTACTTCTCGACCACTTTGCTAAAATTTCGAAATAGATAATTAAATTTATTTCCTATCGAGAGGAATCAAAGACCTAGTCCTCTTAGGCCAAGTGGTTGAAGAATATCTTGGCTGCTTTAAAGCACTGTTTAGGGGCGAAGATAGCCTCTGTAAGAACCTTTTTTAGTCACAACGATAAATCATCGACGCTTCAACGCCATTTCCGATGCAACAAAGTTGGCTAACAAATTTAGCTAAGGTTGCTAAAAAACTTACCATAATTTCAAGCTTTCAAAGTTTCTATTCAAGGTTATGACATGGTTTTAGAAATATCCCCACAAATTTCTATTGAAAATATATATTTTTCGCGCCTACCTGAAAGTATTGTGGCTTCTGTCCATCCGCCAGTCAGATAACTTAAGTAAGAACTGAGATATCTTGATGTAACTTGCTATATATATTCCGGGGCACCCTATAGGGTCGGTATAGTAGATGGGATATAAAATTTTAGTTGGATTCAGGGGCCTGAGGTAGTGAGGGCAACCTGTGCGCTGGAAATTTGTAAAAAGTGGGTATGGCCCCGCCCTCTAAAAGGTTTAATGTACACATCTCACAAACTTTTTTAACTATTTCAACCACTTAGGACAAATCTTTTTGGCACCTTCTTGGACATTGTGAAATCGTGTTATAACCACGCCCACTCTCTATATAACTGTTATGTTGAAATCTACTAAGTGCGCGATAACTCACTAAATAAACACGCCAGAAGCATTAAATTTCACAAATAAGATGGTAGTCAAGGGCTTCATAGGAAATTAAAATCAGACAATTCTCAGAAAGATCTCGACCGACTTCAAACCAATTCGCTGGATAACATTATATTGACATTGGTATCAGTGTAAGTGGACGAAATGAGAATACAACGCTTACTATATATAACAAAATTTCAAATTCCATCTAATGCCTTCATTTTACAGTATACCTCAAACTTTACAGTCAAACCTCGATCAAATTATCGGAAGAAAACCGTGTCTTTATTTCCATAGCCCCAATACATTTAACAGAAGTATTTTCAAAATTCCGGTTTATTTTATCTCATATAAGTACGTACATATATCGGGCCATATGTAAGGTGGCTTGATTAAACTCAACGGTCATCTTTTATATTAATTTTTGTTATTTTACATTAACATATTGATATAATTTTAATAGTGTGGGAACATTTAAGTTGTTTTTAAGATATGAGCCTTTTACAAATCCAGGCATTTATTTACGCTGCTCTTTCTACTTTTTACACGTTTCTGCTGAATCATAGGCGATAGGTATATCGGTACTAGTGTCATCATTGGTCTCATCATGTGCCAAATATGCACTGCCTCTCCTTCGATCAGTTGGATTACCAGAGCTTATTGATAATTCGCTAGCAATTAGGAAAGCTGAAATATTTAAAAACATATATATTTAGCTCATCTATTGAATTTTTGAGCATTCTAAGATAAATTATATTAAATATGTCATGAGAAGGAGTTTTATATCCGGCTGAAACCTCATATGAATATAAAACTAGAGACTTCTATACTTACCGACGAGCAAGAAAACTAACGTACTTTTCGGCAACATTCTTGATATACAAGTAATATATTTTACAAGCTTGAATACGATCGAAGACACCTTTACTTTAACAACTCCGCATGTTCTTTTATAACATCATCTGGAAGATAAAATATCCATTAAGAAAACTAAGAAAGAATTTCATTTAAATTCAACTATTGTTCTTCACAAAGATCGTGCATTTACATGTTAATTGTTCTAAAATTAACGGAATCTAATCAAGTGCTGCAAAACCTCATGTATAACATAAATTTTTTAATAGCTTCAAAACCCTATTGCCATAATATTGATACCCAACCAAACTTAAGCGAGCAACCAAGCTATTCAGTTGGCCAATACGTCTTCAGCACTTTTAGAAATATTCAATTCGAAGTAATTATACTGTGTTCGAGTACAAGCTAGATATTAGGAGGAATTTCAGGTCTCTTCAGATGCTGTTCTCTAACACGTCAATTCTGTGGAAGCTTCTTCAATGGCCTCAATACTTAAGAAAAAGAGAGTTCTTGAATAATTTACAGAGATCTAGCATATTGTTTGATGTATATGAGATCAATGTTTACAGAAATATCCCTATATTGTCAGTGCCTCGAATTTGTTAATTTTACAATATAAGTATATATATTTTAAAGTATACATGTATTGGTCAAGTGTAAAGTTCGTTCGGGTTTTTTATTGATTTTTCAAAAGATGATAACTTTGTGTACATTTGTCCGATTTAAGTCAAATATGCGCCGCTTTGTTCGTGAACTTGTTGCCAACGAGATGCCAACAATCTCGTAGAAGGCTACGTCCCTATTGGCAAAAAACTCGGAGAGCCAATATTTACAGGCCTCTCTTGAGGTCAACTTCTCCCCATTAAGCGCGTTCGCCATGGACAGGAAAATATGGTAATCACTTAGTACCAGGTCCGGACTAAAAGGTGGGTGCATTAGGACCTCCCGGAGCTTCTGGCGCGTCACCAAAGACCTGGCGTTGTCCTGATGGAACACAATTCGGCCCCTGTTGATCAAAGATGGCCTCTTCTGGATGAGTGCTGCCTTCAAGCGGTCCAGTTGTTGGCAGCAGAGGACCGAATTGAGCGTTTGGCCATAGGGGAGCAGCTCGTAGTAGATGATTCCTTGCCAATCCCACCAAACACACAGCAAAACCTTCCTGGCTGTCAATCCGGTCTTTGCCACCGTCTGGGCCGCTTCCCACGATCGTTTCGGCTCGATGTTGTCGTAAGTGACTCATTTTTCAATCCGGTTCAGAAACGGGTCGATTTTGTTGCGATTCAGAAGCGATTTGGAGATGGAAATTCGGTCCATCATGTTTTCTTGCGCTAGTTAGTGTGGCACCCAAACATCGAGCATCTTTTTGAATCCAAGGTTATGCAAATGGTTCCAAACGGTTTTCTGGCTTATCTTTAGTTCCTCAGCAATTAAATAAGTGCTCACGTGACAGTCTGTTTCCACTATTTCCATGATTTTATCGCGTGGTGCATCTTTGAAATCGAAATTACCGAAACGGAATCTAGCAAACCACTTTTGTGCTACACGTTCGTTTACAGTATCGGGCCCATAAACTAAATTAATGTTTTCAGCCGCTTTGGCTACTTTTTCGCTTTGATCGAAGAAAAATTGTAATATATAG